TAATAGATTCCAGAGATGGGCGAGCAAAGATGTTTGATTTTGGTGCACATTAGCCTTGCAAAAGGATAGAAAATGTTGCTGGAGACTGGGCCAACTGGTCTCCTGAGGTTGGAGAATGGAACACCCCCCTACTCCCACCCTAACTCCCTCCCCGCTGGGAATGTCTGCAGGGTACATCAAGCATGAAGACTGTGGAACACTCACTTATGTACAGAATACAGATATAAACCTCTAAAGTAGATCTATAGATGCTTTGTTCCTTCATTATTGTACTTTCTGCAAGGCCAAAGACTGTAAATCTGTACATTTGCAGCTGAGGCTGTTGATATTATAATCTTTTAGACATAGGTTATTGACTAGGTCTGAGCCTAAGTCGACTGAACCACACCTGCTTCAGGGTGAGCTCTGCAGAGGCAGGTACCGGGAGGGCTTGGGAGCTTTCTGACAAGCTCTCTCATAAAGGTAAGAAAAGGGTAAATATGTCACTGCTTCAGTAATGGAAGAGCCCATCACCACTGTTAGAGAGCAGAACTGCTGCCCTGAGCAAGGGACAGCCACTATGAGCTTCATCGCTTGTCTGACATCTCAGGAAGGGGATTTAGAACAGCTCTCTTTTTCCCATTTGAACTTAAAACGATGAAATATCTGATTTATTTTCTTTAGCCCAAGGGAACTTTTGGGTTCCTTCTTGTTTCCATTTTGCAGTGGGGAGATATAGGAAGAGTGTTTGGGTAAATGCCAAAACCACATTTAGTATATCTTTTTGTTTTATTTGCAGCATTTGCACTTTTTTTATAATAGACAAATACTAACCTATACCAAAACAAGGGAACATTTCAAGTGTTTGTTTCTGCTTCAGTTTCACAGCTATGAAGCACTGATAATATTAGTCACCAAGGAACTGATTGGTAAAATTTGAAAATGCAGTCTGGATAAGCAATATTATTGATTTACTCTATTTTACTGCTATGAATGTTCTTGGAAAAAATACTCCCATTCTGCACAGAAAAGAAAAATTTTGTAAAAGATGTCCATAGAAATGAACAGATAATTACTGTTAAAGCTTGCATTGTCCAAATTACAGAAGAAAAGCCCATTGGGATAAGGGATCAAGACAGAAGTAGCACATTTTTATGTTTTGTTTCTATAGTTAAAAGTTAATCAGTTATCAGCTATTAAAAAAACCAACTGAGAACATAAGCAGGAGTACAACATCACATAAAATCATAAAATCACAAAATCACAGAATGGTTTGGGTTGGAAGGGACTTTAAAGATCATCTTGTTCCAGCCTCCCTGTCATGGGCAGGGATGTCACCCACTAGAGCAAGTTGCACAAAGCTCCATCCAACCTAGCCTCAAACACTTCCAGGCATGGGTCTTTCACAACTTCTCTGGACAACCTGTGTGAATGCCTCACCACCCTCACAATAAAGTATTTCTTCCTAATGCCTAATCTAAATCTGCCCTCTTTCAGTTTAAAGCCATTGCCCCTTGTTCTGACCTGACACAGGTGCAAATCTTGCACATCAATTTAGTTAACATCAAGCCTTTGTTCTGCTTAGCACAAAAACAAATGGATAATGAAAACTAGCGTGAACACCTGCATCTACAAACTGATGTGAGCTTCAGGTATTCTTTCAGTGCTGAGTCTCATGAAAAATACCATGAGCACTACAAGGTGACACAGCCTCTTGGGAGGTGCTGCTGATCCTGAACACCTGTTGCTCTTCAAATGCAAATGGTGGTGCTGGTCTCTTGGCTGATGAGCCAGTACCAGGTGCTAGGAACACTCAAGGCCATATAATGAATATAGGGGGAGGACATCACTTCACTGCTCTTTTGTGCTTTCCTGTGCCAAAATGCTGCTACAGAATTATTCAGTTTTTCCTGGAGCAATCTGTGTCAATTAAACATGTGGGTTTGTTTTTTGTTTGTTTGGTCTTTTTTTTTTTTTTTTGGTGGGGGGATCTTTAGCACACACTGTAATAAAAAAATTATAGTTTTTCCTTGAATGTGAATCTTGGATGTTAATTGAAATCAAGGCAGGATATTTGTGAGCAGAGGTGAAACCTCCTATTAGACAACTCACATATATACACTTAAAAAAAAACCATGTAAAAGCCTTCAGGTGCTACAGTCCTACTTCAGTGTAAGTAAAAGCATTACTAGTTTTTCCATTAGATGCGTTAATAAAGAGACATCACTGTTACCTCTAATCTCTGTGTTATCTGGGTGCTTAGTCAACCACAACCTCAGCCAAATTTGAAGAATTAAATTAACTATAACTTTTGTTGTTGTTTTAATAAGATAGAACAGATTTTATTTTCATGTAGGATAATTATTTCTGGAGTAGTTTTTCCTTCATAAGCCTTATATTTCTAACTACTACGGTTTGCAACAACAAACCATACTTCTCAAACATCTATTTCAGGAGAACAATCCCACTATTCAAGCATCACAACCACTGCTTGTCAGAGAACTCTCTTCACCTCATGGAGGAAGAGTCATGAATGTGCTAATTAGGATATCTGCACAGATTTTCCAGTTTGTGTACCTACAGGCAAAACTGTCGCTATCACTTTTAGTCTAGTTCAGTAATTTATAGGTGTCAGAGGTTGAAAACAGTGCTTAATTCTTCGTTCAATTAAAAAATTCCACTTAATGAAATCTGTAGCTTTGCATGAATAAATGCCACATCAAAACCAGCGTTTGCTGCATAGAGTTCAAAGAACTGACCCAACTTATCACACCCTCTTAAGCCTCACAGACTCCTCCTGCATCCTTCAGCATGGTGGTGGCTGAACTTCCTGATCCAACAGAAAACCACTGCATTCTAATATTAAGCATGACATTAGGAAACGGCACAAAGCTACTGAAAGGGGCTTCAACAGTGAAAGGTTGTTTTTTAAATTGTTTTCCTACTGACTGGATATTTTTCTCTGCCTGTGATCTGTTACCCTGCAAAGACTGCTCTCCCTAATGTATGTGCTCAATAAGGGGTGAAAGCAGCTTATAGAGCCTGAATGTCTTGCAGAATCATCATGAAAATTTTCATTCCAAAGCACAAAATATATTTCTCTGCTCTTTGCCAGGCCAGTTAATGATGGGAAAACAGATGGTGTTTGCTCATTTGTCAACTTAAACTAAATCCCCCCCAAAGGCAACAAAACACTCCTCCTGAACGATTTGGTTGATCACTGTCATTAACACATCTCTTCAGGAAGTGGCAATTATCCAGCCAGTGACTCAGTGTTCTCTTGCCCACAGCTACTCATTCTTTCTGTCTGTTCATTGTCCCTCAAATGCCACCTCAGTTTCACTGACTTAACCGCTCCTCATCTCCCTCCTTGTCCCGCTGTTGGTCTCTAACTGCAAATAGCCACATCCCAGCCTTCCTCCATCCCCTCCAGGGGTTCCCTGGATGGCTCTCGGTTCCCCACTCTTCTTCAGTCTCCTTGCTCCCAAACTACATTTGTCTATTGTTCCTGGTTTTCCCCATTGAAGTATCCTTTCATTGTGAGAATCAGCACCTCCTCTCCTGTCCAGACTCCTCCCTCCTCATCCAGCTATGGCACCTGCCCTTCCACCACATCTGAGATCCTCCTGCATTCCCCCTCCATATCTCATGACCAATCTCCTGACTGACTCCCTTTCAGGATAATCCTCTAATTTTCCACGTCTTCATGTGATATTATCAATATAACTCCAGACTTAAAAAGGGCTGGAGGGACAAGAGGTTCAGAGTGTCCAACTCTGGGACATTAAATGTTTACATTATTTTCAAATTACGTGCATATTCTAGCACTTCAAAGCTCAATGCGTTTTTTCAAAGGCTTTTTAACATGCTTGCAGGCTTTGTTCTTTGCTGTAAAAAATAATAAAAAAAAAACCAAAAAAACCCAAACAAAAACCCAAAAAAACCTAAACAAACAAACAAACAAAAAAACACAAAAAAAAAAAGAAAAAAGAAGGAAGAAGAAGAAAAAGGAAATAAAATTAAAAAATAACAGCACACCAATCCTCCCTCCTTTGTTCACAGCTGCCTGAGTTAATAATTCTCTGTTTCTTCCGTGATTATCCACAAGAAAATTGAGGGGAAAGCGAACTAACTGACAAACTTTATATCTTAAATTAATTCAATCTTCCTGGGAATAAAACCACCTTAGAAGCTTGCAGATAGTTATTATGCCTGAGAAGTACTGAAGAAAAAGGACTTATTTACACCTGAACAGGCAGTTCCACTTATTCCATATGATTGAGAGTAAGCATATGATTAAACATTTTGTTGAATTTTAGGCACTAAATGCAAGTCTGGACAAACCTGAGCACTCTTCCACTAATATGAACATGTTTGTGAAGCTTTGAAATGGAACTTCCTATTACTAGCATTCTTCTAAATGTCATGCAGGCAATATCACATTGTTCATAGTTGGTGCTTTCCTAAGCTGAACTGCATCTGTATTAATGTAAACAGTCAATTTTTATGAATGCACTATTTCAAAAGAAGTCAATAAAAATACTATCTCAGCAATCACGAGTCAATACAGGTATATCTGAAGATCTTGCAAATACTTTCACTTGGACACAACATCTGTCGTTAAGTTTCACCACAGGTGCAGGTAGTTAGGTGAGAAGAGAGGGAAGGGAAGCAATTGTCCATCCGCCTTGGCACCACCCAGGCCTCTTGGGGCATCAGTGGGGGATCAGCAGGTATCACCTGCCCACCTGCCCCACCTTCCTGCCATCTACACTGTGGCTGCAAGAGGAGTTTACATATTCATTTAAAAGCAAACAAACAAATAATAATTAAAAAAAAAAAAACAACAAATCACAGAACTGGTCAGTATATAACAGCATTTTCTAGTAGATGTGATTCATCTAAGAGAAGGCAGGCACTGGCTGCCTGAGTGATCAGCCAGGAAGAGGAGGAAAGAGAAAACATTTCTGTGCTGTAGTTCTCATAAAACACGAAACTGAAATAGGTCAGCTAAACAGCACTTTCACGGTGCCACTACTCCCTGTTGACCACAAAAACAATGTCAGGAGGCATGATCAAAGGTGGTTATCACAGTTTAGATGTGGTAAAATAAATTGATTGTGTGCTTTGCTTTTATCATTGTGATCAATGGGGCACAGATATTTTCCTCTAAAACTTTCCTCTGCTTCACTACTTTTAAATACATTTGTATGAACAATAGTGTTGACACAGACCTGGTTACCTATGACATACATTAAAAGCAAGACAACCTACTGCATGCACAAGAGAAACTTACAGAAGAAGAAGAGGAATTTCAAACTGAACTTGATTATGAATGAAATTTGCAAAAAGCCAATAACAACAACAAAAAAACATGCTGAAGAATTGCAGCCATGCAAGATGCATTTAAGAGACATGTAGATGTGGCACCTGGGGTTTAGTGGTGGGCTAGGCAGTGCTGGGTTAATGGTTGTACTTGATGGTCTTGGAGGTCTTTTCTAGCCTCAAGGATTAAATTATGCTCAGTGTTCACAGAGTAGCTCTGCACTCTGGACCCCACGGTCTGGGCAGAAAAACCCACCATGTCCTGGAAAGCAGCACAGCTCAGAGAGAAACTGCCTTGGAGGCGGTTTTTGGGGCAGGTATGATGTTATACAGTGACTACACACAGGAAAACACAAGTTTTGGCTCTAAACAGAAAGTACATATTTTCAAATAAATGTATAAAAATGTATTTACAATAAATGAAAACAAGCAAATGAGGGCTGCTACATCACATACTATACCCAACAACTTTCTCTTTTACCAACAGAAGCAGGAAGAACAAGTTACACATAACAATTTCTTGTCACATTATTTGATGATGTGATTGTCACATTATATGATAATTTGAACAAGAGGAGTTCAATGAGGAGAAGGAAAATAAATACCTCTATAGATTCACAGTAGTAATGCATGAATAGGCATAAAAAAGCTCAGTAAAATATGCTCAAGTGTTGTACTTCCATTTGTGGCGCTTAATAAACACCTAGAGATCAGTCAAATACCAAAAAATTAAAAATTTCCATGTCATTTATACTGAAGGCATTATAAGTAGAAACTGTTAAGTATATAAACATAACCTTTACACCTGACTATTTACCTTTAGCTTTGTAATAAGTTTTATAAGCCGTAATATACTATATCCCCTCTTAAAATTTAAAAAAGTTCTAGCAAAATAGGGCTTCTAAAATTTCAAATATTATAGGGCACTTTGCTGTAAATAAGACTTTCTGAAATGCAAAAAATAAAAAAAGTCCTTGGCAGAAGATCAGTCACATTTCTGGCAATGCAGGGCTTCTTATCCTACTCAATTCTATGTGTTTCAATCCTTTAACATAACATTAACAATAGAATTGAATCTGGAGATAATCTTCGTGGCACAGTGCATTCTTATTTCATGACAAGGTTCTTCATTAGTACATTCCCCATGATCCTGCTTTCTGGCCATGACCTACTCTGCTGCTTCTGAGTGGCTTTGTTTTCCCATAGCTAACTCACCACCATTTTTGTACTTTTCAGCAAAATAGTCAGAGTCAAAGCTCACAGACAAATCTGGAGGACACACATAAATGCTTCCATTGTCTATTGTGAGCTTATGAATCCTTTGTTTGACTCCTTTTGATTGCCACTGTGGTGTTGGTGATGGCTCCAGAGGGTTTATTCCTTCATATAATCCTTCTCCTGTTTCCAAGGTAATTTTAAACTTATGCCAAGGACAAACAATACATGCTTGGCCATGGATATCCTGCAGGAAGAAGAAGAAAAGATAGCAAGTCATCATCTAGGACAAAAGATATGTTTGATGATTTGGCTGTATGGCTGTCTGCTGTTATATAACCATTTTTTTCAATGGTATGCTCAGATAAAAGTACTAGAAAAAATGCATTAGTTTTCACATGACTCTATGCATTACTTTTATTTTGTTTACATACCTCTATTTCTCCACGACACAAAGGGCCTCCTTCATCTGAAACATGGCAGAATACCATAATTATTTATGTAGCAAACGTATTTTATGCTTAATTGTTGCAACGTTGAGATCATATATGCAAGTATCTTACGGTAGCAGCGAGAATCCAGAGCATGAAATTTCCCCTCATGGTAGAAAACAACAATTTCTCTGCCATTGATTTTGGCTGTTATTCTTCCAGACTTCTTTATGTCCTCTTCTTTGCCAATAAATATAAGACCATCTGGCCCCATTTCAGCTGCTCCTCTGCTTGAACTGTGCAAATCTACATCCTTAAAACACACAAACACACACACAAATAAATGAAAAAGCCACTTATAAAGCAGGTCACATTTGGATATCTGTGGGTACAGTGGATGTCCCAGAGAAAACCCTGATGCATGAGGTGAAAGAAGTTTTAGTGAAAGACTATCAACATGCAGACAAAGAAAAGCACAGGAGTTTAGTGATAATGGTCAGTCCACATGTTCACTAGCAGAACAGGGACAAGGAAAACCAGCTGTTGCAAACCTGATACTTGAGGCTGAGACAAGATAAATTCTCAATCACTATTCACTTACTCTGCACTTTAACCACCTTCTCCCCTCAAAACCTATATGCAAACAAATACAAAGATGGTAAATGTAAAATACTATATAATTTATTTATGCAATGAATAACATTCACATGTAAGCCCAATACTCTTTAAATAATATTTTGGCTAGAAAGATAAAGTGATGTAAGTTGATAAAAAAATTATTCTACAAAAGGGAAAAAACATTGTTTATTGAGCTGTATTCAACTTGACCTTTCTAACAAATGTGCCTGCCTTTCCTTTCCTCCTCTTATGTATTTCAAACATCTAACAGACTCTCCCTCTCCCAACAGATTATATAAGCAGCTTTATCACAAAAACTGCCTTCCCATTAAATTTACTTACAACTAGCTACTGTGTTCCAGTTCCCTTCAAATTCCCAATACAACTATGCTACTCTCACTTCCTCAGAAAAATCAGTTTAAAACAGGTCTTTATAAACACAGAGTCCAAAGGGGAACTGCAGGTGGGGGGGCCTCTGGCTGCAGGGTATGTAGAGCCACTGAAAGCCACACTGTACCTTTGCTCCACACCAGATGGCAAGGGATATGAGAAAGCAGATGAAGAAATGGATGCTGAGGATGATGAAGTCCAGCATTGCCTCTCTTCACAGTGTCTATCTGCCAGGCCTTGTTGGTATCTGTCATGACGTGCATTGCAGCGCCTCTTTATGTGCAAATGGGAGGCAGTGGGGCCGGCCCCTATAGCACCCTATGGCAGGATATATGGAGGCTCAGCACGTCAGAACCCAGCTCTGCTAGGGCTGATAAGAAGCCAGGACATGCTGGGGCTGGCCTGATAACAGAAGAGGAGAGCTTCACATTCCTCCTGCTGCTGTCCTCACCATGAGCCCATGTGACTGCCTTCTCCTAAAACCCTGCTCAGTTGCAGGTATGTGACATATGTCCTCAGGATCAGCAACTGCATATTTCCATGTTTCACTGCACTGGGAAGAGTGGTTTAAGTGACAGTGTGATGTTTCCAAGGCCAATTGTTAACTGATCAGCACATGATCAATTGTATAGACTGGCCAACTCTCTGCTTTCCAGTTCAAGGAACTTCCACCTAGTCTTACCCAGAAAGTGAAACGTCCCTATCAGACTCACAGGACAAACCAATAAGGCACTGACACTTACATTCTTCGGGAGATAAGCATAGCATGTAGTGAATTAACTGTAAGAACCAGAGTAGGAAATCCCCAATTTTTACTATCACTGTTTGGCTGACTCTGCCAATAATCTTTCCAAATTGGCCAAAATACTAAAATGCAAAATGTAGTTAGAAACACCCTTAATGAAGACACCTCTCAAAAAACTGTGTACATAAATACATGCACCTATAGCAATACACACACATACATATGCATTTGTACAAACACACATACACATGTATGCGTGTCTGAACCATTATTAAAATAACACTTGCCACCTAACCTCTAGCTCATTCAGTGATGACATTTCTACAGGCAGCCTGAATTTTGCACGCATTAATTATCCAGGCACCTCATTCTGAAACCTGAGTCAGCACATTGTGGACCCTGTATGGCCCAAATTGCATAATTAATCAGTAGCCAACAGCTTCGTTTTACAGCTGATACTTGTGTACTTATCTACACCCAGCTGCACATTAAGGACTACCCTGGGATATCAGGCATCCTACAAAAGAAAGCCCTTGAAGCAACTTGTTATTATGCTACTGAGTTTGTTAAATGCAAAGTGGCAAAAGACTTTCTTTCCTTAGATAAGGGGTGTATTTAAGTACTCCTTATCATGAAATACCTGTAACAAGACCCTCTTACTGCTCATGGCCACTTTCTCATCCACGAAGTGGATGTGAACCCACAAAGTATGAACAGAACATGAGATATTTCAACCTAGAGCACTCAGAGGCAGCAAAAGCCCCAAAGGAGGCAGCAGATTCTTACCTCCACAGCTGGTGCCAGATGAACAAAGACCTGCTTTCTCCTCTCTTTCCTTAAACAGCACAATCACAGGTGTTAAGCTTTAGCACAGATAAGGAGACAGCTGATTTGGTGACCATCACCTGCTGACCAAAAGCACATTAAAATGACAATTTGTCTCTCAGCCCCATGGGAAGCACATTGTCCTTTGCGCTATAAGGTGAAATAATAACCAGCTTTGCTTTGCTCCTATTTTCTGTTTGTTTCTTTTTTATTTTCTTTTCTTTTTCTTTCTTTTCTTTTTCTTTTTCTCTTTCTCTTTCTCTCTTTCTCTTTTTCTCTTTTTCTCTTTTTCTCTTTTT